TGTACAAATGTGCTTTACACAATTGATGTATGTATGGATTATGATAAGAGTTGTATGAGCCCCTAATAAAATGATTTAAAAAAAAAAAAAGCTGAGGAGGAGGAGAAAAGGGAGAAGAATCCCAGAAAGGGCCATGAAGGAGTTCAGGCACCGTTTGATCCAGCTACCCTACCCGACCACTTCCATTCCCACAAATTTCGCAGATGAACAAATTCAGGGCCCAAAAGAACCTCGTTTGGACCTGGTCAGACCTGTGGCACAGCTGGGGTCCAGCAATCAGAAGGCAGGTTGCTTTGGGCAACCTGGGTCTTAGAGGACCCAGCCCTCCTGGGAAAGACAGGCGAGTAGTCAGAGCCACATAATGGCTCAGAAAGCCTGAGTCAGTCAATGCTCGCCCAGTTTATTCATCCCGTTGCCGGTTCTCAGGCCTGGGCACAGGCTCCCAGGCCCTACTGGCCCATCCGAAGTTTGTGCCGAGGGAAAGCTGCCCCAGGGGCCAGGGGAGCCTGAAACCTGACCCCCACACAGCTTAGACTCCATGTTTAATGTTTATATCAGCACCCACACCAAGTCCAGGCCTACACCCAAACCTTGAAACTGCCCCTCTCCTTACCCCGAGGTCCTTGTGCCCACATGCCCACTGGGCAGCCACTGTTCTTGGCTACAAAGGTGGTTTTTGCTGCCCACTCACTCTTTTGTAACCTGCCTACCCTTCCAGCCACCAGCAGGAACCCTGAAACCACCTTCTGCCTACACCACACCACAGGACACGACTCCGGCACGCCATCCCCAGCAGAGGAAATTACAAGCCCTTTCACGTGCTGTTCCAGGCCCTCTGCCCACGTGGCCACCCTCTCCCACTTTCAGCTATACTTCCGGTGCCCCCGGCTCTCTCTGAGACTCTCTGGGCCTCAGTGTGGGCCATTCCCTCTCCTGGAACTCCCTTCCTTCCTTCCGTCAGACCCCTGTGCAGCTAATACTCCTTGTGGATATCTGAGCTCCGCAGGCCGGGTGTATCTTGCCTTCCCCATCAGACATGACTATGGAGTAGGAAAGAGCCTGGGCCCCAGCAGTGCCCAACGCAAACCGACGCATAGTGGGCTTTCTCAGTGTTTACTGACTGACTGAATGACTCTTTCCCAAGGAGGCCACTGGACACAGCCCTTTATAGATAGTCAGTTTCTCCCCACTCCCCAACCAGGCCTAACCCCTTCCTGAGAACCAGCCCAGGAACTTTCATGGTAATAAATTTTTAAAAAAAGGAAATTCCTGGCTGTGTGATCTGGGTGATAAAGGCTCTCTTTCAAAACAAAACAAACAAAAAGGCTCTCTTTCGTAGAAAGCCCACTAGGGGCATCCATAAATCATGACTTAAACTTTACACCTTACACAGAGATGACTCACAGATTCAAATGTAAAACAAACTTTGGGGGGCGGGGGAGAAAATCTTTAGGACCTAAGAGTAGGCAAAGAGTTCTTACACTAGACGCCAACAACATGCGCGATAAATGAGACCTTTTCACAATTAGACATTGTGTGCTCGTCATAAGACTGCGTGATGAGAATAAAAAGACAAACCACCAACAGAGAGAACATACCTGCCAGCCACATATGGGGCAAAACCCTTGCGTCTAGAACATACGAAGAACTCTCCACACTGGACCGTAAAGAACATCAACCACCCAACCGGACACCGAGCAGAAGACATGAAGAGACGGTCCATGGAAGATGACTCAGAGATGTCCAGTAAGCACAGGAAAATATGTTCAAAATCATTAACCAGCGGGAAACGCGTATTCAAACCATGAGCTATCATTACATATCTCTCAGAAAGGCTCAATCAAAACTTAGTGACAACGCCAAACAATGCCGGTCAGGATGCAGGCGGTGGGCCACTCGAATGCCACGTTGGTGTTGATGTAAAATGGAATACACCAAAGAGGCAATCGCACGCAGAGCAACCCCGTAGGACAGGGTAGAACTGCCCCTGCAGGTTTCTGAGATTGTAACTCCATACGGGAGTAAAAAGCCCCATTCTGCTCCTGCAGAGCTGCTGGTGGTTTGGAATTGCTGATCCTGAAGGTAGCAGCCCAGTGTGTCACTATTATGGCAGCGAGGCCCCCTGTAAAATGGTGTAGACGTGCTGGAAATAATGTGACAGTTTCACGACTAAACTAAACATGCAACTCTCCTATGATCCAGAAACACAGAGGCAGTTCTACTCTATCCTACAGGGTCGCTGTGAGCCAATGGACGCGATGGCAGTCAATGACCTCCTATGACCCGGGATTGTACATCCATTTCAGAGACGTGAAGATACGTGTCTTCATTTCGCTGGGCAGAAAAACCTGTGAGTGTCCTTAGCTTTAGTTGTAACCGCCCCAACTGCAAACAACCCAATATCCTTCCAAAGGTGAATGGATCAACAAATTGTAATATCTCCACATTAGGAATATAAAACCCTTTACCCCGGGGTGGATTCCAACTCATGATGGGGCCCCATGCGTTACAGAGTAGAACGGATACACGCGGTATTCTTTGCTATGATCCTCATAGAAGCAGGTCACCAGGCCTTTCTTCTGTCGCACCTCTGGGTAGGTTCACAGCACCAGCTTTTAGGTTAGGAGTCTAGTGCAAACCATGTGTAGCACTGAAGTACCTCCATGAGCAAGGGAAGCAGCAAAGCTTTGTTACCTGAGCCAATCTGGATGAGTCTCCAGGGCATCGTGCTGAGTGAAAAAAAAGTCCATTTCTTAAGATCATTCTTGGCCACATAGCCAGACCAAACTTATGGCCACCCCATACACAATAGGGTTGCATTCTTGGCCTGGTTCTCAAAAGTACACTACCAGGTCTTTTTCCCTATTCCCTCTGAGGCTGGAAGCTCCCCTGCAACCGGCTTAGCATCCTCCCGACAAACAGTGGCATGTGAGGTGCACTGACCAAGAGTGTAAACCAGGGTTCGCACTCCCACAAGGAAAGCGAGGATTTTACCACTGAATGCCACTGCCCCATGCCCAAAAGCCACATACCGTACGCCCCATTTAAAGAATATTCCCAAGATGATCGTGGACAGGGAACAGATTAGCCTATGACAGGGGTTAGGTACAGCAGGGGAGAGGGCTATAAAGAGATCTCTGGTACTAGAATAGTTACATGTCCTGATGGTGATAGTGGTGGCACAAATGTACACAAGTGATGAAATGGTGCACACGCGCAAGTGCACACATGCAGGCAAGCTGATGCCATCTGAGTAAGATGTGTGGGTTGTACTGATGTCAGTGGCCGGGCTGCAATATTGTACTGTGCTCATGCAAGATGCTACCATTGGGAAAGACTTGGTGAAAGGCTACATGGGACTTCCCTGTTTTGCTTCTTCTTTGTGTATCTTCCTGTGAATCTACCATTATTGTCAGGTAACTGCAGAGGTTAACAAGCTGAGTAAACCCTTTCAGCCCTGGGAACCAGGCTCCCTTCATGGACCCTGGAGCCACAGCTTGCTATAGCGAAGACACAGGAGAGACAAAGGCTTAGAGGGTCTTGTCTTGGAGCACAGTAGTAGCAGGAGGGGCTATGAATCAGAATTCAGGACTCCCAGTCTGGGGCTCACCACTGTCACATGATTTTCTCCTTAGAGGGCTTACTGGCTTAAGGCTTAGGAGATCAGTGATGGGGGTCACAGAGGTGTTGGAGTAGGGGTGAGGGCAGTCAATGCTCAGGACAGGAAGGGTCGGGGTGCTCTGGGGGCTGCTGGGCAGGTAGAAAGTGAGGAGGGTGTAATTAGCTCAGATTCGGAGGAGGGTCTGAGGTCTGGAGATGTCACCAGCCAGCCTTCAATGGCACCAAGCCGTTGGCTCACCCGCATTCCCCCCAGTTCAGGGTGAACTGGGGAAGAGGTAAGGGCAAGAGAAAAGGCCTGGCCAGGTGCCTGGCAGACAACTGAGGCACGTGAAGAGAGGGTGGGGGCCACTTGTAAGGTGAGGTTTAATGGGCTTTGTTGTCCCCACCCCAGCAGCCTGCCTTCAGATGTGGCCCCCACACCCCCTATAACTAGGGTTCTGAGCCCTGGGGACGCCAGGCCCGGCCTGCTCCCGTCCGGGGCGTGGCGACCCCGCCCAGCACTGAAGACTGCTAAGTGGGCCAGACCTTGCTTGGACAACTGCCGCCTCCCCCCACCTGGTTCCACATTGGGACCACTGGCTAGCTCTAGCCCCACTCGCGGACTTGCAGGATCACCAGCAGGGCCAAGGCAATGAGGCCCTGGCTGCTGACTGGCCGCGTGACATTCGGGAGCACAATCCCTCCGGGTCTGATTCTCAGCAGCCTTTGACCTCCGGACCTCTCAAAACGTGGGCACCTCTACGGGCACCGCGGAGGGCTGGGGGCGCGCCCAGGCTGTGTGCCCGCGGGTTCTGCCAGGGGTGAATCAGCTTCCGGCCCCGCCCCGGCGGCACGTGACCGCAGGTGGCGGCAGGACGGCCCTGAGTCACCAAGTCTCTGCGCCCACGGCCGCCACTCCTCCCGCCTATTGGTAAGCGGGCGACCCGGGCCGCAGCCACCCCTGGGCCCCATCGCCGCCCTTATGGCCCGGGCCCTTTCCGAACCTGGGCCGCCCTCCAGAAAGGCCCCCAGACGGCCGACCCTCGGCGTCCTGCGTTTAAGACCCCCATCCCTTGCCCAGCCGTCGAAATGTGAGCCCCCCAACCCCACTCCTCCCTTCCCTTTCCCCAGCAGTCAAAATGTGAGCCCCCCAGTGAGCGCCCCAACCCCACTCCTCCCTTCCCTTTCCCCAGCCGTCAAATTGTGAGCCCCCCAACCCCACTTCTCCCTTCCCCCAGCCGTCAAAATGTGAGCCCCCCCCAACCCCACCCCACCGCACACCGAGCAGCAACGCCCTTCGGGGCTCCTGCCTCCCAGCTTCGGGAACTTTTGAGAAGTTAGGAGCTTATTCGGGTTCGGCTAGAAGTCGCTACGGAGGGTCCCTGCGCCGGGAACCCACCTCGCCCGGAGACCCCGGCCCGGGGGCGTGTCCGTCCGTCCCCTAGCCCCGCCCCACCTCCTTCCGCCCCTGGCCCCGCCCTCGCCCTCGCGGCCGCGCTCACCTGGTCTCCCTCGGCGGCTCCGCGCACAGAGGCGCAGAGGCGGCGGCGAGGCCGGGAGTGCGCCCCAGCCCGGAACCGGGAGCCCGCGTCCGTCCCGTCCTCGGCGCTCGCGGCGCAGGGGCGCCCGGCCGGGGGCACCATGGCCTTCTCGCAGGTGCAGTGCCTGGACGACAACCACGTGAACTGGCGCTCCAGCGAGTCCAAGCCCGAGTTTTTCTACAGCGAGGAGCAGCGCCTGGCGCTGGAGGCCCTCGCGGCGCGCGGCCCCGACGCCTTCTACGAGGTGCTGAAGCGGGAGAACATCCGCGACTTCCTCTCCGAGCTGGAGCTCCGGCGCATCCAGGACACCATCGAGGTGTACGACCCCGGCTCCGAGGGCCCGCGGGGAGGCGGCGGCCTCCGAGAGCCCGACGATGCCGGCGGGGAGGCCGAGGCGGCCAGCGGGGCGGGCGGCGGCGGCGCGCCCACCGAGACCGAGCCGCTGCCCTCCCTGGAGTACTGGCCGCAGAAGTCGGACCGCTCCATCCCCCAGCTGGACCTGGGCTGGCCAGACACCATCGCCTACCGCGGCGTGACGCGGGCCAGTGTCTACATGCAGCCCCCCATCGACGGGCAGGCCCACATCAAGGAGGTCGTGCGCAAGATGATCAGCCAGGCTCAGAAGGTGAGCGAGCAAGCGGGCGCTCGGCCGACGCCCGGGCCGCTCGAGAGCTGCCCCAAGGACGCACGCTCAGCTCTCGCCCCCAGAACTGTGCCCATGACCTCCATGGGTCTCCCTGGAAAGGGATTCGTCCCTGCCTATTCGAGCTTCCCGTCAGAGGGACCGGGGAAGGTGCTTGGGCCTCTTGAGGCGACCGTGGGTTGTCCCTGCCTCACTGAACCCTTTACATTTCCTGGCGGGGCATACTTGCCCCAGACCTGGAGAGACGTTCCTGGAGAAAGGGGCTTCGATGGTATGGCCTGGGGAGGAGTTGGGGTTTTAGGCACCCTGGGAGAAGCCCAGGGGTCTAGCACACTGAAGCTCATCACTGTTGCTTCTGTTGGATTGGAGAGACTCTTGGAATGGGGCTTAGACAGCGAGAGGGTGAAGAGACTTGAGGCTGCCTGAGGTCCTAGTTCAAATCTTACTCTTGCCGTACCATGCCGGGTGACGGAGAGCCAGTTGTTACCCTCTCTGAACTTTGCAGCAGCGGGGCCTTCTAGGCTGGGGTAAAGGTGCAGGGATGGTGTGGTCCTGATAGTAGAAGCAGGAAGGCAGCCTTACATTGCTCACCTGGTTTGAATAGGAAGGATGAAGATGAAGCACCATCTGCTTGCTCCACCCCACCCCCCTTCCCTTTGAGACTCTTGCCCTGAAGGGCTGCGAGAGACTCTCCGCAGTGCCCCAGTGTTGGTGGCTGCCCTCTGCTGACATCCTGACACACTCTGTGACAGGGTGCTCTCTACAAGCAGAAACAGCCAGATGGAGTGAGTATCTGGTCTGCAGAGCACTGTTCTCCATGGTGACATGGTTTCAGAACATCAGTGTTGAGAAGGATTCCGAAGCTAGGTCTGGACTCGGTAGAGAGTAGTGATTGATTAGCCATGTCTGTTCTGGCTTTGGTGGTGGGGGCATGATGAGGCTGAGCCTCACCCTTCCACGTCAGGGCAGGAAACAGGCCCAGAGTGGGACAGTGACCCACCCTGGCTGACAGTCCCTAAGGGAGGGAGCTCTTGGGCAGAGAGACCACAAGTGGGTCAGGAGCGGACAAGAATGGTTCTCAGGTTTCTCAAAAGGCTGAGCGAGTTCTTGTCCCAAGAGGGGCCACGTGAATTCGATAGCTCAGGTCTGGGAATCTGGACCTCAGCCCGCCTGTCTCCCAACTTGCTGGCCGCCCCTGGGCAGCTTTGCGTCTTCAGTTTGTCTGGCCTGTAAAATGGAGGTGATGAAGGTACGAGTGGTGTCTTTGAGTTGTTGTAATGAGTGAGGAGAAGGAGGAGGGGTGCAAGGGGACGTTGATAGTTTTCAGGTTGCATAACCTGCCCCACACCTGCTGTGAGGTAGGAAGACCCTCCCGATGTGGCCTAGTGGGGAATGGCTCTGGCTTGAGAGCATTAGTTCCCTGGGAGTGCCTGCTGGGACCCCATGATCTAGCTTCCACACCCTCCCCCCTTTCAAAAGTAGGAAAACTGAGGACCTGTGAAACATGACGGGTTGTGCAAGCAGACTGACACTGGTTTGGCCTGGGAACAGTGGAAGGGTCTGATCTCCCCCAGATGGAAAGACGGATGGCCTGGCCTAGTGACGGGGCCAGACTGTGTCCTTGTGGCCTGCCCCCCTGCAGCCTCCTCCCACATCTTTGGCCAGACTGAGGCCTAGCTGCCCCATGTAGTCCCTGGGGTCCCCTGTAACCTCATTTGCTTCCACAAATGCTCCACAAGTGTATCAGTGCCTTAAACTACATAGCCAAGAGAGGTCAATTTGAACCCAGGCCTCGGGACCCTCAGTCAGGGCCTCCTTCAGCCTCCCTGGCAGGTGGGTACTGTTTTCCCCTGCTCCTACCTCTCAGGTGAACAGAAACTCACTTCTCGAAACTGTGCCACCCCGACAGGTGTGCTTCGGTGCGGGGTCCACAAAGCCTTGTTAAATCAGGACTCATTGGAGGGGACAGCAGCAGGGCCCCTTTCTTACAGATGGGGCCCCTAAGGCACAGAGGATGGTGTTGTGTGCTCCAGCATCTTGGTGTTTCCTGCCATCTCCCTGCCAGGACCTGTGGGGACCTGCGTCTGCCACCACGTGTGGGTGGGAGTCCTCTATTAAGACTAGCTGCTATTTGCTGAGTGCTTCACACTTTGTAATCTCAGGGGGCGTTATCTGCCCCATTCTCAGCAGCTCCGACTGGCCAGACCTGGCTCAAAGGGCACTCAGCTTCTTCCTTCCTGGGTGACCCAGGCTGTGTTGTTCTCAGACTCTGGGCCTGGGCCTGGCCCTGAGAGGATCAGCTGACCCACGTAGCAGCCCCCTCTGGCGGCTTTCCAGGCTTACAGGGCCAGACCAAGGCGCTGATGAATACTGACAGGCTGCTTTGTCTGCCCACCTGCCCACCAGGAGATCCTACCCTCTCCCCCTGAGTCACCTCTGTCCCCTGGCCTCTGCTTCCTCCTCCCTCCTCCTGCCCCAGAGTCAGTGCAGTGGAAACCTCTCCTTGAGACCCCAGTAAAGACAGCAACTGTCCAAATCTTGACCCGGATGCTGGTCTCTCCCCACCTGCTGGGGCCAAGTCAGACGGCTTACCTGTCAGCTCCTGAGCCTGCCCTGTGTCAGCATGACGGGAAGACCCTGGGGCAGGGAAGTGACGCAGCGCCTCTGAGCCATGCCGACTCAGCTGCCAGATGGGGCTGTGTTCCCCTCAGACCGCCACCCTAACAGACTGGAATGAATGGACACAAGAGTGCTGGGGTCCGGTCCCTGCTTTGCCCCCACCTTGCTGGGTAATGACCTGGAACAAGTCCAAGTCTTCCCAACTGTAAAATGGGTGCAAGCTTTGGAGGCTGTGAAGGGTCCTTCCATTTGTTGCGCTGTGGTCTAGACTTCTTTGAGAGCAGGGATGAGTGGGCTCCTGGTTCTCACTCCAGCCCCCTGTGTGGCCCTGAACGGGCCGCTCAGCCTCTCTGAGCAGCTCTGGCTCCCTGAGGCAGAAGGGCCACAGCTTGCCTGAGCCACACTCCTCACTGGCCTGCTTCTCTGCCTAGTGCTGGATGCCTCCCAACCCCCAGCCCCTGGGAGCTGGTGATTTATCTGGGGAAAAACCTGCTAGGGGGTTCCAGCCGCATACCAGAGGCTGGGCCTGTAACATCACGCCTGGGAGCTCTGAGCCTGCGCACGCTCCTGTGGCAGTCTCCTGCGACGGGGAGGGGAGGCTGGGCAGGGAGGGGCTGCCACAGCAAGAAAGAGTAGCAGAGATGTCCTAACAAGTTGCTCTTTCCCCAGATCCTGGAGCCCTCCCCACCCAAAAACATGGGTCAAGGTCCCATGGGGCCCCTGACAAGGCCGCGCTAGAACCTAGATGTTATTCCTGTGTGCTCACCAGGCCTTGGAACAGACACCCAGAGGAGTGTTTGGCCCAAGCCGCACATACACCTAGAAAGAGCTTTCCGCCCCCTGCGATCCACATCTTTCCCATCCGGCCCCTGCCTTCACACACTGGCTGGTGGCTGCGTTGCAGGAGAATAAAAGCAGCTTAACAAGGCGTTTATTAAACGCCAGCAGTATGCCAGGTGCTGAGCAGGCGCTTTCCCTGCGTGGCTGATTCTTCATAACAGCTCTATAAAGTGGGTGTTGTCTCCATTGTGTGATGAGGTTACTGAGCCCTGGCGGGACTCAGAGAGGGTGGATAACTTGCCTGAGGTCACAGAGCTGGTACCCGGGAAAGCCTGGCCCAGAACGCAGGTCTCTAGGCCCCGGAACCCTTCTCTAGAGAAGTGTGGCCTATGCCTCCTACGCCCTGCCTTCTCCTGGAGAATCTGTGCCTCTTTCTGGCCCCAGCTGGACTCAGGGTGGTGAAAGCATTTTCACAAGGCTCCTGTCCCCATCAGGCTCCCAGAGCCGCCACCCATCCCTGTAGTCCTTCCTAGGGGCCACGAGAGAGGACTCTCACTCCATCCTTCAAATAGTGGTTCCAGACAGTCCCCAGCAGCATGAGCAGCCTAAGAGGTGGCCCAGTAGCTGTCCCTAAACACAGAGTCCACAAGGGCTGTGCATCCCCCAGGCTCATGCACAGGATGGGAGTTGCCCCAGCCTGCCCTGACAGGACCCAGCCCTGGCCCCAGGCCCCCTCACCTGCCTGGGTGGGAACCCTCTGATAACATCACCCCATCCCAAACTGGCTCCTGCTTCCCAAAGCTTCTTACTCGACAGCATTTGCCTCGTAATGGAGAGTTTTAAGAAGAGCAGGGTAGCAGCCCGGCCAAGAAGGCACCCACCCTTTGGGACCTGGGACACACCATACTCCGCCAAGCTCAGTGGGACTGGCAGGGGAGACAGGTGGGTCTTGCCCTACAGCCTAGCCCCCACCATAGCCCCAGCCTGGCAGGCTGTGGCCAGGACAGGCTGCACCAGCCTCAGCCTTAGGGACTTTCCCAGGTGTAGTGGGAAGATGGGCTTTGCCATGACATGGGGCCCAGAACTGAGCTCCACGCGGCTCTGCTGCTTATCTGGCTGTGGCCATCCAAAGAAAGAGAGTCACTTTGCCTTTCTGGAATTTTCTTCCTAAGTGCCTCGTTGAGGCTGCCTCACAAAATTGTGAGGAGATTTAGATGGGGGGTGGGGAGTACCTAAAACACAGCCCGGTGCCCAGCCTGTTACCAGTGTCCAGAAATGCCAGTTTTCAGCCTTCTTCCCTCGTTCTGCTTCTTCGCCTCTCCCGAGAGCCTCTCTGGAAGCAGTCTGAGTTGAGAGGTGATGAGTTTTGTTTCCTGGGAAGCATTCAGGCAGAGGATTCGTGGAGGGGGAGTTGAAGAATGTGTGACCTTGGGCCCTTCCTTTCCAGGCTCCGTCTTCCAAGGGGGCCTGGCATCTCAGTGACCCAGAGCCTTCAGAAAGTAAGATTTTAGAGGCTTTCCGATTGATGATCCTCTGATTTCCCAGTTTGGAAGCTGTCTGCTTGTGCTCAGTTTGAGGCCATC